CACGACATGTGTTTTTATACCTTTTTTGTGAACTTTTTGTCATTACTGAGTTTTGGTCTCAAACATTAACGAGAGGGTAGAAAAAATTGAAGTAAGTAATTTTAATATTTGTTATTATATTATTTGAGGCTATTGTACAAATTCCATATTTTTAAACAATATGCGAGTTATAAGGATATATATTAAAAAATTCATAGACGGGGCTAGTTGTGACAGTGGCCCTGGAACTTACCCCACATACATAGTTGAATAATGTATTAATTTAAATATTAGTTTTGCTGTTTTTTATTTATTTTACAGTTTAAGTCATATAAAAAAGTTTTTTTTTATTATAAAGTGCCATAACATATTGTTAATTTCTTTTTAATTTTTTTTCAAACTTGTTTTATTTTTTATTTCAAAATTTAATGAATAAATGTCATGTTTTGTTGATTTTGAATAATCAATATAAAGATTATAATAATGTAAAGAGTTAATTTCATTAAAATTATTTAATAATATAATTATTTTTCAATGATTTCCTATCTAATTTCAGTTTTTCAGCTCATTGACTAACTTACTCCACACGCTGTCTCAACTTACCCCACTAGTGGGGCACGTTGAGCCACTTGTTCTGCCGTCATTTGAGACGTTTCTCCTTTGTTGTGATTACATATTTAAAAATTTTTTGGTTATAATTAGGAGCTCACATGTCAAGCCTTTCATTTGATATAATCTTCATTTTTATACTATAAATAGATAAATATTTATATGACTTTAAACAAAAAGTGGCTCAACTAGCCCCGGTCTACCCTAATAAACCTGCTAATTGCAGATTTCTGGGATAATTTCGATAAAATTTTTCTTCAACGAAAATGTCGAGACATCAATTAAGTATTTTCGAGTTATAAACAAGCGTTGAAAATAAGCGATTTTTTGCAAATTAAAAATGGTGGAAAAAAAATTAATAAAATCATATTCTTTTATTAATTTTATATAGAGTTTAGTTTAATAGAATTTTAATGTAAGAAAATATATGATAGCAGAAATTGGTAACATAGAAAAAATGATGGCCTATTTCGACATTTTTGCTGAGGAAAAATCGTCGCGAAATGATCCTACAAATCTGCTATTAAGAAATATACTATTAATTTTAGGTCACTCTGTATATACATATACAGGGTGTTTAAAATAAAGTGTCACGCAGATAATATAGAAGTAGATCTCGTTATTTGGTTAAGAAAGGCCATCATTTTTTGCATGTTTCCAATTTTTGTCATCATGTATCTGTATAACTAAACATTAAATTAAGTAAACTCTATACTTGATATTAATTGGAGAATATAGTTTTGTTAATATTTTATATGCGCAAGGCTTACTTTACAAAAAACTTTATTTTCAATCGCTTCTAACTCGAATATTATTGATGATTCAATATTTTTGCTGAGGAAAGTTTGCCTCCAAATAACAAGATCTACTTATATATTTTTAATGTGACATCTTATGTCAGACACCCTATGTATATATTATATATAAATTACATACATAATTACCCCAGCTAACCATTTCTGCGGAGGCAAATGTAGGCAACAATTTTTGTTTGTAAAATGGCCGCAGATAAGAAACATATTTTGTCATTACAAACACTGTGAGCATAAATTCAGTAAATATTTCCCAACATCTGTTAACAGACTATATTGACAAAGTGGCAATAAGTAGCAAGCAGATCTGTCGAAAGTGTTGACAACAGATTGATGCCAAAAATGCAGCAGATCCTTTAGATCTAGGATTTTTCTTCGATTTGCTGAGCATTTGGCGCAAATCTGTCCTCAATTTACGATTGACAAATCTGTTCCCAGTCTGTTGCCAATCTGTCGTCGCACTGTTAGTGACAGATCACAACTCTGGCGTTGCACCCAATTTGATGTTAGGATATACTTTCAACTTTTAATTGCAATTGGGGCGTACTCAAGGACACAGTAGGCCCTGGATTTGCAGCCATATTTGGTCGTATTTTGTTTCCCGATTGTTAACAATTTTTAAACAAATGGTTAGCTGGGACGTAAATAATAACTGTTAGATAAAAATGAAAATAATATCTGTAATTCATCATAATAAAATTCCTTTTGTTAAGTTAAATCGGTGATTAGTTGATATTGAGATAATTCTCGGCATTTGCAATATCTTATAATTGTTTAGGAAACGCAGGTATTTATACATTTTTTTCCAGATCTATTTAATCTATTTAACATATAGTAACAAACGTGTCAGGAGATGTAAAGTTTAGCTCTGCCATTTTTCTTGCTTGATCGCACTTTTTCTGACGAATACCTGAATCGATCAGTAGAATCTCCAATTCTTCTATCATTTTGTGTCCCCTATCAGTGTACTCTATGTAACCGGAAATAGATTATTTGTTGCATACACAAGTTGAATACACAAACATTAGTATCGACTTGCCCACATCCATACTATTGCATCACTTGATCGCATTTATTAACGTAATATCTAACTTCACTCAAAAAGTCAAATACAATTTTATCATTATATTAATCTGTATAAAATGCCAAAAATGAAAGCATGCGACACAAACCACGAATGATATCGAATTGCCAAGACCAGCGTTGATGGAAATATTCGAGGTCACGCGCACGCAACAAGATTTTATTTCAAATACCTTCCGTTCAAAGATAGTATAAAGCTAGTAAAAAACATTTGTAAATTAAATCTCTGATCAAACATACACCACTTACCGTTGAAGGTAATCAAGGATTTCACTTATATTATCACAAATCGTTGATCAAATTTGCTGTCTTCCTCTTCAAAAAGGAAACTTAGAACTTCTTTTAAAGGTACTTTAATATGTAAATTTACAATAAAGAAATCTATTTCAATGTGTTTGAATCTTTTTAGATAATTCGCAGAATTCGAGTTTGCTACGTCTATTTAAGCTCATGATAATATGTTGCTGATACGTCGCCGAAGGTTCTCCGTTTAACAATAAGACAATTCTGCCTGGTGCCGAAATTGTAAAATTAGCTAATCTTTTTTCCATCAATAAAAACATTTCTTTATAGAATTGCAAAGTTGAACAGTTAAGACTTTATAATTAAGATTGTACATTAAGGCCACACATAAAAATGTGAAACGTTCGTTATCGCATATATAAGATAGTGTTTATATTTTCCGGGTATACATTTTCGCGTCTCATTTGTGATGGGTTTCATCTCGAAACGTATAATAACATTACCCGGTTGTCATGACTTTAAGTCTGAATTGTTATATCAAACATATATCAAACATATCATTTATTTTCGATATTTTGGAAAAAATAAATGTGTATGCCCATACATAATTAAAAAATGATTTATTATTTTCAATGTGATAAATTAAAAGTTTCTTATAGTCGTAGATACATTTGAAATATTGTCAAATAATATTGATGTTATAGTTTAAATTAAAATATATGTACGCGTACATAATATACGAAATTAGAAAATAATAAAATGTACTCATTAAAATTAAAAGTCAGGGAAATTGCCATTTTAATTGTTTTATCTAATTTCTATTAACACAATGAATAAGAAATTCACATGTTACAGTTTTGCAATATATTATAATGAATTATAATTAGAATTGTTAAAAAATATACTTTCTTGTCGAGATACGTGTATAATTGAAATATAATATACAATGCATTACTTTAAATGTGTATAATTATATTTCTTAGTAAATTATATAATCTTGACATAAAATATAAAAATATCGTTATTATTTGTTATTTTACAGATCTCATTTAAGTAAGTTTATAAGCATTTATATTCATTTAAGCATTCGCGGAAAAGCATATTTTATTGCTATCATATTTCCAAGTAATAATATTATACATATAATAATTCGTATGTTTAAAAAATCGACAAATACTTTATTATCTCTATTACAATTTTTTATTTCTCTTTATTCAAATTACGTTGAATAATAAAATTACAAGTGAAGAAAGTTTATGAAAATTAATTAATCATATTGTACTAGTTTTGTAGTATTAATAAATATAATAAGTATTAAAAAGTATTTCAACATTATAATTTGAACTTAATGTATCGCGAATTTTGGCTCAAAATATTGAAGTATCTTTCATTTCTATTTTTAATTATTTTATAACATATTTTATAAATAGTTAAATTTATAGTATATATATATTGAAGAAGATAGAAAAAGAAATATATATCATTTTCATTCCGAAAATATCCAGCTACTGTGCAAATTCAACTGAAATAATTGTTGTAATTAATTTTTTCATCATAAAAATATAATCATATAAACTTTCTTACTTATAAGCATTCATATTCATTTAAACCTTAAGCATTCGCGGAACATTTTATTGCTATCATATTTCCAAGTAATAATATTATATATATAATAATTCGCATGTTTAAAAAATCGACAAATACTTAATTATTTCTATTACGATTTTTGATTTCTCTTTTATCAGATTAAGTTGAATAATGAAATTAAAAGTGAAGAAAAAGTTCATGAAACTCAATTAATCTTTCCATATTGTACTAGTTTCGTAGTATTAAAAAATATATTAAAAAGTATTAAAATATATATCAAAATATATTATTTTTATTACTTTAAATAATTAAATGTATATAACTTATATAATTTAATTTTTGTATTTCCAAAAAAGTAGAACATGTGATCATAAATGACAGACATGTTTCATAATTCGTGTTTATAAATTATATAGCATTACTGAATAATGAAAACTAAAAATTTTGAAATATTGTTTCCGGTTGCCTCTATAGCAAAGGAAAAATTAATCAATAAAAATTTCATTTACCAGCTTCCTTTTTACATATAGACATATCTACATCAATGAGATATGCACCAGGTAGTATGTACACGGAAACTATATTAAGCTTGTCGGTAACTAATATATGTATATGTACATTTAATAGACAATGCTGATAAAACAAATTTTATTTCATAATTTTCTTTTAAGCTTTTCAAAAAAATATAATTCAAAATTATTTGATTTATTTTTTATTTACAAATTGCATTAAATGATATAATGCAATATAAGTTATGAAAAATAACGTTTTTTATACTAATAATTTACAAATCGAAAGTTTTTAAACATTTATTACAGCACATGATCCCGAAACAACATTGATTATGTTTTTAAAGTTTAATAAAATAAAGTACGAAGAAAATAATATTCTTTGATAATTTTGATAAGAAAATATTCTATGATTTCTCACCTTTAATTTCATAATTTAATACGCTGCCATTAAAAGACTGTGTATGTATACGTAAATTGAACAAAAATGTATATTGTTCGTAACATTTTTTTTCAAATACCACAGGTAATTATCTTAATTTTTTTTACGTTTAGTTACTTATTATTATTTTGACATTTATATAATAATCGCGATAATTTTAACAGAATCAATTCTCAAGTCTGACTCCATCACAATTGATGCTAGTACTTATAACAAGGTAATTTTCATTCCTTAGATATGTTGCAATTTCTATGATTTCGTTGTTTGTTATGTCAGGTGGTAGCACAATGTACGAATATTTGGGTCCAAAACCTGTGAGCTTGGCCGCGTATTCAATATCGTCTGCGATAGCGAAAATACGATTAAATACCTCACTGGACAAACCATAGTTCCGCAATAAATTTTGACTATCTCTAATGTACAACTGCAAAACATAAAATATTTTGGAAAACTGTACATATTGTAACAGACAATTATATATTGGACAATCTTGTTAACGCAGAAAAATTAATGAATATGTACATACATACATATATGGTATATATATATATATGTATGTATATATATATGTATATATATGTGTGTGTGTGTGTGTATTATGCAGGATTCGGAAAATCGTCCGCAAAACACATCTGGAGCTGATTCAGGACCCAAAAAATAGAAAAAAAGTTATAACATAGATCCGGAAATAAATAGTTTTCGAGTTAGCCACTTTTATGTTAAAGAAATCATAATTTATAGTCCGTTTGGCACCCAATTTCTTAATTTTTTTATTTTATAAGGATAATATAATCGTATTTACAAGCATATCAAAAAGTAAAAAAAACTAAAATAATTAAAATTGAAAAAAATTAAAACAATAAAAATTGAAAAACAATTAAAAACAAAATTTTTAAATTAAACAAAACTAGAAATTGAAAATTATATAAATTCAAAAATAAATAGACAAGAAAATAAAGATTTAAAAGTTTTCAAAAATTAAGAAAGGAATGCCAAATAGACTATAAATAACGATTTTTTTATCATAAAAGTTTAGTTATAACTTGGAAATGACTGATTTTCGAACCTATGTTTAACTTTTTTCTTCTTTTTGAATCCCAAATTGCCTTCCGAAGTATTGCGCGCAATTTTCAGGACACCCTTATATATAATATAATTATAACAAAATTAGAAAAAAACGAAAATAGTACCTCTAAGTGTCCATATTTACGTTCTTGCTGAGTTAAATTGGCATTCCGAATATTAATACTTAGTTCATCGAGGAAAATATACACTTGTAAGGCTAAATTATCATATTCATTTAATACGTTATTAAATATGATAGAATTTTGAAATTTGTATTGTGCCAATTGTATTGCTTGATCACACTTTTCCTGGCGAATACCTGAATCGATCAGTAGAATCTTCATTCTTGCCAACTCATCGAAACTCACAAAAGCGTACTCTCCGTAATCGGCAAGTAGACTATTTGTTGCATAGCCGTATATACAAACGTCGGTATCGATCTGCGTACATTGATAATCTTGCAAACGTTCCTCGTAATATTTAACGTACACTCCAACATCCACCAAAAAGTCTATGTGATTAAATTTAATAATTGCATGAGGCTCATTCTGTAAACGATACCAATGAAGAAAACACGCAGCCAGACACACAGCGAATGATGTTGAACTGCCAAGACCAGCATCGAGCGGTATATTCGAGGTTACATGCACGTAAAAAGATCCGATGTTAAGTCTCTCCTTTACAGCAATGCTATAAAGTAAACAAAAGAACATTTGTAAACTAAATCTCTGTTGGAACGTACGCCACAAGCCGTTGAAGGTAATGAAGGATTTCACGTATTTAATCCTAAAGTTTGGATTTAATTGGTTATTTTGCTCTTCAGAAAGGTAGCCACGAACTTCTTCTAAAGGTACTTGAATCTGTAGATTCACATCTGGGAATTCTATTATAATTGGCCACCCTTCTGGTAATTCACGAAATGTGAGTAGGGTACGACAATTTAAACTGGTCGAGACAAAGTATTTTTGATAACTCGCCGAGTGTTCTCCGGCTAAGACGATTCGGCCCGGTGCGGAAATTTTAAAACTAGCCATCCTTTTTATTCGTTTTTAATAAAAATAACTCTTTAGTCACAGAACTGTGATGTAACGTTGAACAGTAAAGAGTTTACAATTAAGAAAGTACAAGAATTTCACTAATAAGAATTTGAAACGTTCGTATCGCACATAAGACAGTTTATATTTTCTGTGTGTACACTTTCGCGTCTCATTCGTCACTAATATCGTCTCGAAACATATAATACCATTGCCCGGCAGTCACGACTTTAAATGTGAATTACAATGTCAAACTTTTCGATATTGTGACAAGGGACAGTGGTTACCTTAACCGGTGTCCCGTAAAATTATGAAAACGCGGAGTATCTGCTTAGAATAAATTACTATAATTTTTTTTATTTTTATGAATATTATTTTTTAAAAGTTATATTTGAACGATTTTTTTTTGTTCCGTAAATTTTTCTTATAATCATAAGTCAAAAGTGTTCCGTAACTTTAAAAAGATTAAGAACCACTGTTTTAGGGAGAAATGGTTAGAATAAATGTGTATGCCCATACTTAATCTAAAAATAATATATTATTTTCAATATCATAAAATAAACGTTTTCTTATATTGTCGTGGATACATTTCAAATAATGTCAAATAATATTGATGTTATATTTAAAATATATGTATATGTAACGATACGTATGTATATTTAACTAACTTATATAAGTTAGTTAAGTTAGTTAGTTTATAAATTACTTACATTATATATGCATAATATACTTATAAAAAATTAGAAAATGATAAAATATATCAATTAAAATTAGCAATCAGTGCAGTAGTTATTTGATTTGCATTTTCTAATTTTCATTGACACAATGTATAAGATGTTTATATGTTACAATTTAGTAATATAGTATATATTATAATACAAACTATATTTTCTAGTCGAGATACGCGTATAATTGAGATATATATTATAATATAAAATGCAGTATCGTATATATGTAAAATTATATTGTTTTATAAATTATATAATTTTGGGATGTGAAACATGAATATATTGTAATTATTGTTATTTTACATATCTCGTTTATGTTAGCCTAAATCGACATTATAATTATAACTTAATGTATTGCGAACTTCGGTTTAAGAGTATTGAAATACATTTTATTTCTATATTTTAGTTATTTTATAAAGAAATAAATCTTATCTTAGTATATATAATACTGGAGATATAAAAAATAAATACAATATAAATTTCATTTTTATTTTGACAATCTCCAGCTATTGTGCAAACCCAATTGAAATAATTGTCGTAATTAATATTTTGCATTATTAAAAAATAGTTATTTAAACTATAAATATGCATTTATATAAGCAATCCTATTCATTTAAATATTCACAGAAGAGAAAACTGCTGTCATCGTCCAAGTAATAATATTATACATATAATAATTCAAATGTTTAAAAAAATCGACAAAAACTTTATTATTTTTATTACAATTTTCGTTTTTTCTTTATTTCAATTACGTAGAATAATGAAATACAAATAAAAGAGATATGTAAAAGTTGTTATAAAGTTTATGAAAATCTCTTTATAATCTACTAGTTCTTTATTAGTATTAAAAAATATCAAAAGATATAATTTTCTGTTACCTTAAATAATTAAATGTATATAACTTATTTAATATAATTTCTATATTGCCAAAGAAGAAGAACGTGTGATTCTAAATGACAGATAGACTACATGCTTTATAATTCGTATACTACATGCTTCGTAATTCGCATTTATAAATTTTATAGCATTAGCATTATTGAATAATGATAACTTATGTTTCGAAATATTTTTTACGGTTATTTCTTTAGCAAAAATAAAATCAATAAACAAAAATTATATCCACCAGATTATTTTTTACGTAAGCATACCTACTTCTTTAAATCATGCATCAGATGACATATGTACATGGAAAATATTAATCAGCAGCTAACAGATATATGTATATGTCCATTTAAAAAATAATGTTGATTACATAAATTTTATAATTTTGTAAGCTTCACAGAATAATATAATTCAAAATTGTTCGTTTCATTTTTCTTTCAAAAATTGCATTAGGTAACATAACAATAAATATAACATAAATAATATAACGTAATGTGAAAAAACCATCTATACATAGTAGGAAAATTTGCGCTTTCTTGTTAAAAACGATCCCTTCAAAACTTTTGTGTTAAAGATTTAATAATCATGTGTTAATTAAAATATTGCGTTGTATTATAGAGAACTTAAATTTTTAATTATTAAAACAATCGAAAATTTGTATAAAAATAACTCAACGTGCATCTATTTTTAATTGTACACAATAAATATGTAGTTTTATTAGTGACAAATTTATTTGTTAAAATTTACTGAAAAATGTTGATTTTTAATTTTGCATTATAAATAGAGATAAAATATAAAATTAACACATTTTTAGTTAATTTTTACATTAAAACTATGTTAATTTTACACAAAATTTATTTTAACTCACTTGAAGTTTTGCATACATTTTGTGTTAAAATATTAGCATACTATATATCTGTTACTATTTCACATATTTATATTATTTTAAATTAACACAAAAGTTTCTGTGGTTTAGACATGTGATATCTGTCAAAGTTAACACAAATTTTTCAATTGTGCATCAATTAATTTACAAATCAAAAAAACTAATATTTATAACAGCACATGATCTCGACTCAAGATCGCCTATATTTTTAAAGCTTAATATAAGATAGAATACGAAGAGACTCAATATCTTTCGACAATTTTGACGAGAAAAATGTTAAATGATTTAAGACCTTTGATTTTATAATTCAATATGACGTCATTATAAAACCGCAGTTTTTAAGCAACATATATATTGTAGTATATATTCATACATTGAAAAAAAATGTATACTCTTCGTCATTTCTTTGAATATTACAGTATTCATGCATAATTCCGACAAATTTTTTTACAATCAATTAGATGTTATTATTTAGTCATTTATATATAATAAACGCGATAATTTTAACAGAATTAATCACAATGGTATTCATCAAGTGTTACAGCATCACGATTAATGCTTGTAAGTGTAGGAGTTAAATTTGTATTCTTAAACTGTATTATAATATCCACGATTTCTCCGTTTGTAAAGCTCGGTAGTAACACAATATATGAATATCTAGGTCCAAAACCTGTAAGCTTTGCAGAGTATTCAATGGAGCTTGCTTTTTCGAAAATATGATTGAATGGCTCATTGGATATGTCATGATTCTTTAATAATAGTTGAGTCTCTCTAATGTAATACTGCAAAACATGAAAAATGTTAGTTACAAAACTGTATATACTCTATGAGATAATTATATACTGGACAATCTTTTCAACAAAGAGGAACTAAAGAATATATATATATACTGGCTGTCTGACATAAAATGTGGAAGCGAAAATTTACAAGTAGTTCTCGTTATTTGGGTTGAGAGAGACCATCATTTTTTACATATTCCCAATTTCTGCGATTACGTATCTTTATAACTAAACTTTAAATCAAAATTTTATTAAAGTAAACTCTACTAGAAATTAATTGGAGAATATAGTTTTGTTAATATTTTATTTCCAACAAGGCTTAATTTGCGAAAAATCATTATTTTTTAATCGTTTATGACTCGAAAATTATTGATGCCTCAATATTGTTGCTGAGAAAAAAATGCCTCTAATAAACAAAATCTACTTTTATATTTTCAACGTGACACCTTATGTTAGACATATATATATAAATTATGCAGATAAGTATATAAATAATAACTGTTAAATAAAAACGTAAATAGTACCTGTAATTTATCATAATACAATTGCTGTTGAGGTAAATTGGCATTTTGAATATTACGGTTTAGAAGACGCAGATATTTATATATATATTTTTACAAATCTATTTAATTCATTTAACATAGTAATAAATGTGTCAGGAAGTGCAGATTTCAGCACTGCCATTTTATTGGTTGATCGTACTTTTCCTGGCAAATATCTGAAACAAACAATAGAATTTTCATTTTTTTTCATCTTTTTGAATTCTTTATGAGCGTACATTGAGTAATCGGAAATAAATAGACTATTTGCTGCAAAGCTATACACACAAACGTCGGCATCGATCTACTCACATCTAAAGTCTTGCATCATTTGTTCGCATCTTTTAGCGAAACGTCTAACTGGCATCAAAAAAAGATGATCAAATCACGAATATCACGTGTATTATTCTGTATATCCTCCGAAAGAAGAAAGCATGCTGCGAATATAATGTCGAACTGCCAAGACCGGTGTCTAATGGAAAGTTCGAGATGATGCGTCTGTGAAAAGATAATATATCAAAATTCTCCAGTTCACAGTGATAGCATAAAGCAAGAAAAATAATAATAAGAATATTAAGTCGGCTTCTTAAATTTTAAAAACACAATATACATCTCTTTCATCTCGGCCAATAGAACCACACGCGATGTTATTGCGACAATTAAGAAAGAAAATTTGGAAACTAAGTAATTTGTATCCTATGGTTGGGATCTCAGAAATTTTTCTTGTTCCATTCTTAACTTCTCTTGTAAAGAAATAGGCGAGAAAAGAAGAAAAAAAAATGTTTGTAAACTAAATCTCTGCTCGAACGTGCACCACATGCTGTTGATGGTAATCAAGGATTTCACGTATTTAACCTTAAAACTTTGTCAAGGTAAAAATATATTGTAATTGCCAGTCAATATAAAAATCAAGGTTGTGAGTTTTAATTGACCACACTAGCTAATAATGAAAGGTTATTTATTGAAATTTTTATTATTTTATTTATCTCCTTTTATTGTACTTACATTCTTAACAGTATATTTGATTTATATTAGTATATATTTAACCCTTACTCAGTATGAATCATTATGATAATCGTGTCTCTAAGTACGGATTTAATTACATGTCCAACATGAATTTACATGATTCATGCTGTCATGTGTAAGTCTTAAATTTTTATTTTTAACTACGTTATCCATTTTTAATTTTTATTTATTATTTTTTAATTTTAGTATTTTTTCAATTTTTTAATTTGTTCTCGTTTTTCTTTTAAAAGGCTTTACATTTTTTAAATAAGTTTCAGTTAACAATATACGCATAATGTAACTCTTTACATCAATTTATGGGTAATGTTTTTTCTCTAATCGTAACTTTATTATGATATTATTTACGTGAATTGTATTGAAGAAATTGTTTACGTTTTTCTTTGTCTTTGCATTTACGACTATTTGTTCTAATATTTTAGCCTGAAGAGGACCCATTTCCAGGGTTAAAATGTTGCCTTTTCAATTAATAACCTTTTATTATTAACCAGTGTGGTCAATTAAAACTCACAACCTTGACTTAAAACTTTGATCTAATTTTCTCTCTTCCTCTTCAGAAAGATAGCCTCGAACTTTTTCTAAAGGTACTTTAATCTGTAGATTTACATTAGAAAAATCTATTTCAATGTGTTGTACCTCCCTAGGTAATTTGCGGAATTCGAGTTTGATACGTCTATTTAAGCTTGACGTGACAATATGTTGCTGATACGCCGCCGAGTGTTCTCTAGCTAAGACGATTCTGCCCGGTGCCGAAATTGTAAAATTAGCTAACCTGTTTTTATTTAGCGAATACATCTTTTCATTACCGAATTTTAACGTTTAACAGTAAATAGTTTTTAATTATGATATTATAGTGATGCCATTAATAAAAATTTGAAACGTTTATTATCGCTTATATAAGACAGTGTTTATATTTTCCGTGTTTAACTTTCGCGTTTCATTCGTGACTGGTTTTATCTCGGGACAATGTATAATAACATTACCCAGTTGTCATGACTTTAAGTCTGAACTGTTATATCAAATTTTATCGATATTTTGGGAAGAAATTAAAATAAATGTGTATATGCCTATAATAATCCAAAAATGATTTATTATTTTCAATGTGATAAATTAAAAGTTTGTTATAGTTGTAGATACATTTGAAATATTGTCAAATAATATTGCAATGTTATAGTTTAAATTACAATATATGTACGCGTACATAATATACTTATACGAAATTAGAAAATATATAAAATGTACTAATTAAAGTTAACAGTCAGAGAAGTTGCCATTTTAATTGTTTTATCTCATTTCTATTGACACAATGTATAAAAAATTTACATGTTACAATTTTGCAATATATTATAATAAATTATAAATAGAATTGTAATTAAAAAATATACGTTTTCGTCGAGATACGTGTATAATTAAAATATAATATAAAATGCCTTATTTTATATGTGTAAAATTGTATTTCTTAATAAATTATATGATCTTGACATAAAACATAAAAATATCGTTATCATTTGTTATTTTACAGATTTTGTTGAAGTAAGTTTATAAGCATTCATATTCATTTAAGCATTCGCGGAATTGAACATTTTATTGCTATCATATTTTCAAGTAATAATATTATACATATAATAATTCGTATGTTTAAAAAATCGACAAATACTTTATTATTTCTGTTACAATTTTTTATGTCTCTTTATTCAAATTACGTTAAATAATGAAATTAAAAATGAAAAAAGAGTTTATGAAAATCAATTTATTTTTTATTTGCAAATTGTATTATATGATATAATGCAATATAAGTTATGAAAAATAACGTTTTTTATACTAATAATTTACAAATCGAAAGTTTTTAAACATTTATTACAGCACATGATCCCGAAACAACATTGATTATGTTTTTAAAGTTTAATAAAATAGAGTACAAAGAAAATAATATTCTTTGATAATTTTGATAAGAAAATATTCTATGATTTCTCACCTTTGATTTCATAATTTAATACGCTGCCATTAAAAGACTGTGTATGTATACGTAAATTGAACAAAAATGTATATTGTTCGTAATATTTTTTTCAATCACCACAGGTAATTATTTTAATTTTTTTTTACGTTTAGTTACTTATTATTATTTGACATTTATATAATAATCGCGATAATTTTAACACAATCAATTCTCAAGTCTGACTCCATCACAATTGATGCTAGTACTTATAACAAGGTAATTTTCATTCTTTAGCTGTGTTGAAATTTCTTTGATTTCGTTGTTTGTTATGTAAGGTGGTAGCAGAATGTACGCATATTTAGGTCCAAAACCTGTGAGCTTGGCCGCGTATTCAATATCGTCTGCGATAGCGAAAATATGATTAAATGCCTCATTGGACAAACCATAGATCCGCAATAATTTTTGACTTTCTTTAATGTACAACTGCAAAACATAAATTATTTTGAAATATTGTACATATTGTAACAGACAATTATATATTGGACAATCTTGTTAACGCAGAAAAATTAACGAATATATACATACATACATATATATATATATATATATGTATGTATATATATGTGTGTGTGTGTGTGTGTGTGTGTGTGTGTGTGTGTGTGTGTGTGTGTTATGCAGGATTCGGAAAATCGTCCGCAAAACACATCTGGAGCTGATTCAGGACCCAAAAAGTAGAAAAAATATTATAACATAGATCCGGAAATAAGTAGTTTTCGAGTTAGCCACTTTTATGTTAAAGAAATCATAATTTATAGTCCGTTTGGCACCCAATTTTTTAATTTTTTTTATTTTATAAGGATAATATAATCGTATTTATAAGCATATCAAAAAGTAAAAAAAGAACTAAAATAATTAAAATTGAAAAAAATTAAAACAATGAAAATTGAAAAAAAATTAAAAAATAAAATCTTTAAATTAAACAAAACTAGAAATTGAAAATTATATAAATTTAAAAAATAAATGAACAAAAAAAAAGATTTAAAAGTTTTCAAAAATTAAGAAAGGAATGCCAAACAGACTATAAATAACGATTTTTTTATCATAAAAGTTTAGTTATAACTTGGAAATGACTTATTTTCGAACGTATGTTTAACTTTTTTCTTCTTTTTGGATCCCAAATTGCCTTCCGAAGTATTGCGCGCAATTTTCAGGACACCCTTATATATAATATAATTATAACAAAATTAGAAAAAAACGAAAATAGTACCTGTAAGTGTCCATAATTACGTTTTTGCTCAGCTAAATTGGCATTCCGAATATCAATACTTAGTTCATCGAGGCAAATATACACTTGTAAGGCTAAATTATCATATTCATTTAATACGTTATTAAACATGATAGAATATTGAAATTTGTATTGTGCCAATTGTATTGCTTGATCGCACTTTTCCTGGAGAATACCTGAATCGATCAGTAGAATATTCATTCTTGCCAACTCCCTGCAATTCTCAAAAGCGTACTTTCCGTAATCGGCAAGTAGACTATTTGTTGCATAGCCGTATATACAAACGTCGGTATCGATCTGCGTACATTGATAGTCTTGCAAACGTTCCTCGTAATATTTAACGTACACTCCAACATCCACCAAAAAATCTATGTGATCTAATTCAATAATTGCATGAAGCTCATTCTGTAAACGATACCAATAAAGAAAACACGCAGCCAGACACACAGCGAATGATGTTGAACTGCCAAGACCAGCATCGAGCGGTATATTCGAGGTTACATGCACGTGAAAAGATCCGATGTTAAGTTTCTCCTTTACAGCAATGCTATAAAGTAAACAAAAAAACATTTGTAAACTAAATCTCTGTTGGAACGTACGCCACAAGCCGTTGAAGGTAATGAAGGATTTCACGTATTTAATCCTAAAGTTTGGATTTAATTGATTCTCTTGCTCTTCAGAAAGGTAGCCACGAACTTCTTCTAAAGGTACTTGAATCTGTAGATTCACATCTGGAAATTCTATTTTAATTGGCCACCCTTCTGGTAATTCACGAAATGTGAGTTTGGTACGACAATTTAAACTGGTCGAGACAAAGTATTTTTGATAACTCGCCGAGTGTTCTCCGGTTAAGACGATTCGGCCCGGTGCGGAAATTTTAAAACTAGCCATCCTTTTTATTCGTTTTTAATAAAAATAACACCTTAGTTTCAGAACTGTGGTAATGTTGAACAGTAAAGAGTTTACAATTAAGAAAGTACAAGAATTCCACTAATAAGAATTTGAAATGTTCGTATCGCACATAAGACAGTTATATTTTCTGTGTGTACACTTTCGCGTCTCATTCGTCACTGATATCATCTCGAAACATATAATACCATTGCTTGGCAGTCACGACTTTAAATGTGAAATACAATGTCAAATTTTTTCGATATTGTGGGACAGTGGTTATCTTAACCGGTGTCCCGTAAAATTATGAAAACGCGGAGTATCTACTTAGAATAAATTACTATAATTTTTTTTAATTTTATGAATATTATTTTTTAAAAGTTATATTTGAACGATTTTGTTTCGCAAATTTTTCTTATAATCATAAGTCAAAAGTGTTCCGTAACTTTAAAAAGGTTAAGAACCACTGTTTTAGGGAGATATGGTTAGAATAAATGTGTATGCCTATACTTAAACCAAAAATAATATATTATTTTCAATATCATAAAATAAACGTTTTCTTATATTGTCGTGGATACATTTCTAATAATGTCAAATAATATTGATGTTATAAATTTAAAATATATATGTAACGTATGTATATATATTTAACTAACTTATATAAGTTAGTTAAGTTAGTTATACAAGTTAGTTAGTTTATAAATTACTTAAATTATATATGCATAATATACTTATAAAAAATTAAAAATTGATAAAATATATCAATTAAAATTAGCAATCAGTGAAGTAGTCATTTGATTTGCATTTTCTAATTTGCATTGACACAATGTATATAAGATGCTTACATGTTAAAATTTTGCAATATATTATATATTATAATTACAAACTATATTTTCTAGTCGAGATATGCGTATAATTGAGATATAATATGAAATGCAGTACAGTACCGTATATATGTAAAATTATATTGTTTAGTAAATTATATAATTTTGACATGAAACATAAATATATTGTAATTATTGTTATTTTACATATCTCATTTATGTTAGCCTAAATCAACATTATAATTATAACTTAATGTATTGCGAACTTCGGCTCGAGAATATTGAAATATATTTTATTTCTACATCTTAATTATTTTATAAAGAAATAAATCTTATCGTAGTATATATAATACTGGAGATATAAGAAAGAAATATAAATATCATTTTTATTTTGACAATTTTTAGCTACTATGCAAATCCAATTGAAATAATTGTCGTAATAAATGTTTTGCATTATTAAAAAGTCATATAAACTATATATGCACATAAGCAATCATATTCATTTAAGTATTCGCGGAAGGGAAAACTTTGCTGTCATCGTCTAAGTAATAATATTATACATATAATAATTCGAATGTCTAAAAAAATCGACAAATACTTTATTATCTTTATTACAATTTTTTTTTTTTTTATTCCATTTACGTTGAATAATAAAATAAAAATAAAAGAGATATGTAAAAGTTGTTTAAGAATTTAAGAAAATCTCTTTATATTCCACTAGTTCTTCATTAGTATTAAAAATATCAAAAGATATTATTTTCTGTTATCTTAAATAATTAAATGTATATAACTTATTTAATATAATTTCTATATTGCCAAAGAAGTAGAACGTGTGATTATAAATGACAGATATACTACATGCTTCATATATCGTATACTACATGCTCCATAATTCGCATTTATAAATTTTATAGCATTAGCATTATTGAATAATGATAACTTATATTTTGAAATATTTATTACGGTTACTTTTTTAGCAAAAATAAAATTAATAATTAAAAATTATATCTACCAGATTTTTTTTTACGTAAGCATACCTACATCTTTAAATCATGCATCAGATGACATATGTACATGGAAAATATTAATCGGCAGCTAACAGATATATGTATATGTTCATTTAAAAAATAATGTTGATTACATAAATTTTATAATTTTGTAAGCTTTACAGGATAATATAATTCAAAATTGTTTGTTTTATTTTTCTTTCAAAAATTGCATTAGGTAACATAACAATAAATATAATATAAATAATATAACGCAATGTGAAAAAAACCATGTATACATAGTAAGAAAATTTGCGCTTTCTTGTTAAAAACGATCCCTTTAAAACTTTTGTGTTGAATATTTAATATTTATGTATTAATTAAAATATTGCGTTGTGTTATAAAGAACTTAAATTTTTAATTATTAAAACAATCGAAAATTTGTATAAAAATAACTCAACGTGCATCTATTTTTAATTGTACACAATAAATATGTAGTTTTATTAGTGACAAGATTTATTTGTTAAAATGTTCTGAAAAATGTTGATTTTATATTTTGCATTATAAATAGAGATAAAATATAAAATTAACATATTTTTAGTTAATTTTTACATTAAAAATATGTTAATATTACACAAAATTTATTTTAACTCACTTGAAGTTTTGCATACATTTTGTGTTAAAATATTAGCATACTATATATCTGTTACTATTTCACATATTTATATTATTTTAAATTAACACAAAAGTTTCTGTGGTTTAGACATGTGATATCTGTCAAATTTAACACAAATTATTTAATTGTGCATCAATTAATTTACAAATCAAGAAAACTAATATTTATAACAACACATAATCTTGACTCAAGATCGCTTATATTTTTAAAGGTTAATATAAGATAGAATACGAAGATACTTAATATCTTTCGATAACTTTGACGAGAAAAATGTTAAATGATTTCAGACCTTTGATTTTATAATTCAATATGACGTCATTATAAAACCGCAGTTTTTAAGCAACATATATAGTATATATTCATACATTGAAAAAAAATGTATACTTTTCGTCATTTCTTTGAATACTACAGTAATTAAGTTAATAATTCCGACAAATTTTTTACATTCAATTAGATGTTATTATTTAGTCATTTATATATAATAAACGCAATAATTTTAACAGAATTAATCACAATGGTATTGATTAAGTGTTACAGCATCACGATTAATGCTTGTAAGTGTAGAAGTTAAATTTGTAACCTATAACTGTATTATAATATCCACGATTTCTCCGTTTGTAAAGCTCGGTAGTAACACAAAATATGAATATCTAGGTCCAAAACCTGTAAGCTTTGCAGAGTATTCAATGGAGCTTGCTTTTTCGAAAATATGATTGAATGGCTCATTGGATTTTTCATGATTCTTTAATAATAGTTGAGTCTCTTTAATGTAATACTGCAAAACATGAAAAATGTTAGTTACAAAACTGTATATACTCTAAGAGATAATTATATACTGGATAATTTTTCAACAAAAAGGAACTAAAGAATATATATATACTGGCTGTCTGACATAAAATGTGAAAGCGAAAATTTACAAGTAGTTCTCGTTATTTGGGTTGAGAGAGACCATCATTTTTTACATGTTCCCAATTTTTGCTATTACGTATTTTTATAACTAAACTATAAATAAAAATTTTATTAAAGTAAACTCTACTAGAAATTAATTGGAGAATATGGCTTTGTTAATATTTTATTTCCAACAAAACTTAATTTGCGAAAAATCATTAATTTTTAATCGTTTATGACTCGAAAATTATTGATGCCTCAATATTGTTGCTGAAAAAAATGCTTCTAATAAACAAAATCTACTTTTATATTTTCAACGTGACAGCTTATGTTAGACATACATTATATAAACCATGCAGATAAGTATATAAATAATAACTGTTAAATAAAAACGTAAATAGTACCTGTAATTTATCATAATACAATTGCTGTTGAAGTAAATTGACATTTCGAATATTACGGTTTAGAAGACGCAGGAGATGCAGATTTCAGCTCTGCCATTTTTATTGGTTGATCGTACTTTTCTTGGCAAATACCTGAAACAAACAATAGATTTTTTATTTTTTTTCATCTTTTTGAATTCTTTATGAGTGTACACTGAGTAATCGGAAATAAATAGACTATTTGTTGCAAAGCTATACACACAAATGTCGGCATCGATCTGCTCACATCCAAAGTCTTGCATCACTTGTTCGCATCTTTTAGCGAAACATCTAACTGGCATCAAAAGAAGATGATCAAATCACGAATATTTTTTTTCACGTGTATTATCCTTTATATCCTCCTAAAGAAGAAAGCATGCTGCGAATATGATGTCGAACTGCCAAGACCGGTGTCTAAGGGAATGTTCGAGATGATGCGCCTGCGAAAAGATAATATATAAAAATCCTTTAGTTCAGTGATAGCATAAAGCAAGAAAAAAATGTTTGTAAACTAAATCTCTGCTCAAACGTGCACCACATGCCGTTGATGGTAATCAAGGATTTTACGTATTTAACCTTAAAACTTTGTCAAGGTAAAAATGTATTGTAATTGCTAGTCAATATAAAAATTAAGGTTGTGAGTTTTAATTGACCACTAGTTAATAATGAAAGGTTATTTATTGCAATTTTTATTATTATATTTATCTCCTTTTATTGTACTTACATTCTTAACAGTATATTTGACTTTTATTAGTATATATTTAACCTTCACTAAGTATGAATCATTATGATAATCGTGTCTCTAAGTACGGATTTAATTACATGTCCAACATGAATTTACATGATTTATGCTGTCATGTGTAAGTCTTAAATTTTTATTTATAACTACGTTATCCATTTTTAATTTTTATTTATTATTTTTTAATTTTAGTATTTTTCAATTTTTTAATTTGTTCTCGTTTTCCTTTTAAGAGGCCTTACATTTTTCAAATAAGTTTCAGTTAACAATATACGCATAATGTAACTTTTTACATCAATTTATGGGTAATGTTTTTTCTCTAATCGTAACTTTATTATGATATTATTTACGTGAATTGTATTGAAGAAATTGTTTACGTTTTTCTTTGTCTTTGCATTTACGACTATTTGTTTTAATATTTTAGCCTGAAGAGGACCTAATTCCAGGGTTAAAATGTTGCCTTTTCAATAAATAACCTTTTATTTTTAGCCAGTGTGGTCAATAAAAATCACAACCTTGACTTAAAACTTTGATCTAATTTTCTCTCTTCTTCTTCAGAAAAATAGCCTCGAACTTTTTCTAAAGGTACTTTAATCTGTAGATTTACATTAGGAAACTCTATCTCAATGTGTTGTACCTTCCTAGGTAATTTGCGGAATTTGAGTTTGATACGTCTATTTGAGTTTGATACGTCTATTTAAGCTTGCCGTGACAATATGTTGCTGATACGCCGCCGAGTGTTCTCTAGCTAAGACAATTCTGCCCGGTGCTGAAATTGTAAAATTAGCTAACCTGTTTTTATTTAGCGAATACATCTCTTCTTTACCGAATTTTAACGTTTAACAGTAAATAGTTTTTAATTATGAAATTATAGTGATGCCATTAATAAAAATTTAAAACGTTTATTATCGCTTATATAAGACAGTGTTTATATTTTCCGTGTTTAACTTTCGCGTTTCATTCGTGACTGGTTTTATCTCGGGACAATGTATAAAAACATTACCCAGTTGTCATGACTTTAAGTCTGAACTGTTATATCAAATTTTATCGATATTTTGGGAAGAAATTAAAATAAATATGTATATGCCTATAATAATCCAAAAATAATTTATTATTATCAATGTGATAAATTAAAAATTTCTTATAGTTGTAGATACATTTGAAATATTGTCAAATAATATTGCAATGTTATAGTTTAAATTACAATATATGTACGCGTACATAATATACTTATACGAAATTATAAAATATATAAAATGTACTAATTAAAGTTAACAGTTAGAGAAATTGCCATTTTAATTGTTTTATCTCATTTCTATTGACACAATGTATAAGAAATTCACATGTTACAATTTTGCAATATATTATAATAAATTATAAATAGAATTGTAATTAAAAAATATACGTTTTCGTCGAGATACGTGTATAATTAAAATATAATATAAAATCCCTTATTTTATATGTGTAAAATTGTATTTCTTAATAAATTATATGATCTTGACATAAAACATAAAAACATTGTCATTATTTGTTATTTTACAGATCTCCTTGAAGTAAGTTTATAAGCATTTATATTCATTTAAGCATTCACGGAATAGAACATTTTATTGCTATCTAATTTTCAAGTAATAATATTATATATACATATAATAATTCACATGTTTAAAAAATCGACAAATACTTTATTATCTCTATTACGATTTTTTATTTCTCTTTATTCAGATTACGTTGAATAATGAAATAAAAGTGAAAAGAAAGAGTTTATGAAAATCAATTAATCTTTTCATATTGTACTAGTTTTGTAGTATTAAAAATATATTAAAAATATATTTAAATATATTATTTTTGTTACTTTAGATAATTAAATGTATATAACTTATATAGTTTAATATTTATATTTCCAAAAAGTAGAACATGTGATCATGAATGACAAATATATTACATGCTTCATAATTCGTGTTTATAAATTATTGTATATAGCATTACTGAATAATGAAAACTAAAAATTTTGAAATATTTCCGATTGCCTCTTTAGTAAAGAAAAAATTATTCAATAAAAATTATATTTACCGGCTTCCTTTTTACATATAGACATATCTACATCAATGAGATATGTATCAGATAGTATGTATACGGAAACTATATTAAGCGTCGGTAACTGATATATGTATATGTACACTTAATAGACAATGCTGATAAAACAAATTTTATTTCATATAATTTTCTTTTAAACTTTTCGAAAAAATATAATTCAAAATTATTTGATATTTACAAATTGCATTAAATGATATAATGCAATATAAGTTATGATAAATAACGTTTTTTATACTAATAATTTACAAATCGAAAGTTTTTAAATATTTATTACAGCACATGATCCCGAAACAACATTGTTTATGTTATTAAAGTTTAATAAAATAGAGTACAAAGAAAATAATATTCTTTGATAATTTTGATAAGAAAATATTCTATGATTTCTCACCTTTGATTTCATAATTTAATACGCTGCCATTAAAAGACTGTGTATGTATACATAAATTCAACAAAAATGTATATTGTTCGTCATATTTTTTTTTAAATACCACACGTAATTATCTTAATTTTTTTTACGTTCAGTTACTTATTATTATTTTGACATTTATGTAATAATCGCGATAATTTTAACAGAATCAATTCTCAAGTCTGACTCCATCACAATTGATGCTAGTACTTATAACAAGGCAATTTTTATTCCTTAGCTGTGTCGCAATTTCTATGATTTCGTTGTTTGTTATGTAAGGTGGTAGCACAATGTACGCATATTTAGGTCCAAAACCTGTAAGCTTGGCCGAGTATTCAATATCGTCTGCGATAGTGAAAATACGATCAAATGCCTCATTGGACAAACCATAGTTCCGCAATAATATTTGAATATCTCTAATGTACAACTGCAAAACATAAAATATTTTGGAAAACTGTACATATTCTAACAAACAATTATATATTGGACAATCTTGTTAACGCAGAAAAATTAATAAATATATACATACATATATATATATATATATATATATATATATACACACACATACAGTATGTGTGTGTGTGTGTGTGTGTATTTATATATTATGCAGGATGTGTTCGGAAAATCGTCCGCAAAACACATTTGGAGCTGATTCAGGACCCAAAAGGTAGAAAAAAAGTTATAAAATTGATCCGGAAATATGTCGTTTTCGAGTTAGCCATTTTTATGTTAAAGAAATCATAATTTATAGTCCGTTTGGCACCCAATTTCTTAATTTCTTTTATTTTTAAGAATAATATAATTGTATTTACAAGCATATCAAAAAGTAAAAAAAACTAAAATAATTAAAATTGAAAAAATTAAAACAATGAAAATTAAAAAAAAATTAAAAAATTTAATTTTTAAATTAAACAAAACTAGAAATTGAAATTTATATAAATTTAAGTAATAGACAAAAAAATGAAGATTTAAAAGTTTTCAAAAATTAAGAAAGGGATGCCAAACAGACTATAAATAACGATTTTTTTATCATAAAAGTATAGTTACAACTTGGAAATGACTTATTTTTGAACCTATGTTTAACTTTTTTCTTCTTTTTGGATCCCAAATTGCCTTCCGAAGTATTGCGCGCAATTTTCGGGACACTCTTACATATAATTATAACAAAATTATAAAAAAACGAAAATAGTACCTGTAAGTTATTATAATATAATTTTTGCTCTACTAAATTGGCATACCGAATATTAGTACTTATTACATCGAGCCAATTATACACTTGTAAGGATAAATTATTATATTCATTTAGTACGTTATTAAACATGATAGAATATTGAGATTTGTGTTGTGCCAATTGTATTGCTTGATCGCACTTTTCCTGGCGAATACCTGAATTGATCAGTAGTATCTTCATTCTTGCCATCTCTTTGCATTTCTCAAAAGCGTACTCTCCGTAATCGGCAAGTAAACTAATTGTTACAAAGCCGAATACACAAACGTCGGTATCAATCTGCGTACATTGATAGTCTTGCAAACGTTCCTCGTAATATTTAACGTACAGTTCAACATCTATCAAAAAGTCTATGTGATTAAATTCAATATTTGCATGAGGCTCATTCTGTAAACGATACCAATGAAGAAAACACGCAGCCAGACACACAGCGAATGATGTTGAACTGCCAAGACCAGCATCGAGCGGTATATTCGAAGTTACGTGCACGTGAAAAGATCCGATGACAAGTTTCTCATTTACAGCAATGCTATAAAGTAAACAAAAGAACATTTGTAAACTAAATCTCTGTTGGAACGTACGCCACAAGCCGTTGAAGGTAATGAACGATTTCACGTATTTAATCCTAAAGTTTTGATTTAATTGGTTATTTTGCTCTTCAGAAAAGTAGCCACGAACTTCTTCTAAAGGTACTTGAATCTGTAGATTCACATCTGGGAATTCTATTTCAATTGGCCACCCTTCTGGTAATTCACGAAATGTGAGTTTGGTACGACGATTTAAACTGGTCAAGACAAAGTATTTTTGATAACTCGCCAAGTGTTCTCCGGCTAAGACGATTCGGCTCGGTGCGGAAATTTTAAAACTAGCCATCCTTTTTATTCGTTTATAATAAAAATAACTTCTTAGTTTCAGAACTGTGGTAATGTTGAACAATAGAGAGTTTATAATCAAGAAGGTACAAGAATTCTGCTAATAAGAATTTGAAACGTTCGTATCGCACATAAGACAGTGTTTATATTTCCCGTGTGTACACTTTCGCGTCTCATTCGTCACTGATATCGTCTCGAAACATATAATACCATTACCCGGCAGTCACGACTTTAAATGTAAACTACAATCTCAAATTTTTTCGATATTATGGGACAGTGGTTATCTTAACCGGTGTCCCGTAAAATTATGAAAACGCGGAGTATCTACCTAGAATAAATTACTATAATTTTTTTTAATTTTATGAATATTATTTTTTAAAAGTTATATTTGAACAATTTTGTTCCGCAAATTTTTCTTATAATCATAAGTCAAAAGTGTTTCGTAACTTCAAAAAGGTTAAGAACCACTGTTTTAGGGAGATATGGTTAGAATAAATGTGTATGCCCATACTTAATTCAAAAATAATATATTATTTTCAATATCATAAAATAAACGTTTTCTTATATTGTCGTGGATACATTTCAAATAATGTCAAATAATATTGATGTTATAAATTTAAATCATATATGTAACGTATGTATATTTAATTAATTTATATAAGTTAGTTAAGTTAGTTATATAAGTTAGTTAGTTTATAAATTACTTACATTATATATATGCATAATATATTTACAAAAAATTAAAAATGATAAAATATATCAATTAAAATTAGCAATCAGTAAAGTAGTCATTTGATCTGCATTTTCTAATTTGCATTGACACAATGTATAAGATGTTTATATGTTACAATTTTGTAATATAGTATATATTATAATACAAACTATATTTTCTAGTCGAGATACGCGTATAATTAAGATACATATTATAATATAAAATGTAGTACCGTACATATGAAAATATTTATTGTTTTATAAATTATATAATTTTGACATGAAACATGAATATATTGTAATCATTGTTATTTTACATATCTCATTTATGTTAGCTTAAATCAACATTATAATTATAACTTAATGTATTGCGAACTTTGGCTCAAGAATATTGAAATACATTTTATTTTTATATTTTAGTTATTTTATAAAGAAATAAATCTTATTTTAGTATATATAATACTGGAGATATAAAAAAAAAATATAAATATCATTTTCATTCTGACAATCTCCAGCTACTGTGCAAACCCAATTGAAATAATTGTCGTAATTAATTTTTTGCATTATTAAATAATAGTCATATAAACTATAAATATGCATTTATATAAGCAATCATATTCATTTAAGTATTCACGGGAGAGAAAACTTTGCTGTCATCGTCCAAGTAATAATATTATACATATAATAATTCGAATGTTTAAAAAAATCGGCAAACACTTTATTATCTTTATTACAATTTTCGTTTTTTCTTTATTTCAATTACGTTGAATAATGAAATAAAAATAAAAGACATATGTAAAAGTTGTTAAAGAGTTTATGAAAATCTCTTTATATTCCACTAGTTCTTCATTAGTATTAAAAAATATCAAAAGATATAATTTTCTGTTACCTTAAATAATTAAATGTATATAACTTATTTAATATAATTTCTATATTGCCAAAGAAGTAGAACGTGTGATTATAAATGACAGATATATTACATGCTTCATATATCGTATACTACATGCTTCATAATTCGCATTTATAAATTTTATAGCATTAGCATTATTGAATAATGATAACTTATATTTTGAAATATTTTTACGGTTATTTCTTTAGCAAAATAAAATTAATAAAATCAATCAAAATTAATATTGGACGCTAGTGGTGAAAATAAACTTAGCAGACTTGATTTCGACGTAACTAGCAATTTTATTTAATTCTTTCACGACGTTTCGACCATTTGGTTGTGGTCCTTGACGTTGACGTTGACGAAACATCATAGCGATGGGACGTGTTCCTCTTTTAACTTTTAACTATTAATTTTAAATAAGACCTGTGTAATGTTGAGTTAATCTCAGTTTAATTAATGAAATTTTTACTTGATAAGGACCACAACTAAATGGTCGAAACGTCATGAAAGAATTAAATAAAATTGCTAGTTACGTCAAAATCAAGTCTGCCAAAATTAATAAAAAATTATATCCACCAGATTCCTTTTATGTAAGCATATCTACATCTTTAAATTATCAGATGACATACAGGTTTGTCCGGAAAGTAATGCGTCGCTGACGCGACTATACATCGCAGAGCACCTACCCTTAAACGGTAGGTCGCTCAATTGTTTCCATGCGCTTGGAGGGTTAGGACGGCTTATTCTGTGAACCTCTGCTTAGTGGTCGCGTCGAACTTGTGATGGAGAGAACGATAGAGCAACGCTATGCGATAAAGTTTTGCGTGAAGCTGGACAAGACGCCGCTTTGAAATGCTCAAGAAATTTCGGGGACGATTGCCTTTCCAAATCGCAGTCAAACAGATGGCACAAGATGTTTAGAGAAGGTCTGTCAACATCGCGAACGGACGACAATGTGACTCGTGTGCGCCAATTATTGAATTCAGACCGTCGAATGAATGTTCGCTTAATGTCGGAATTATTGAACTTGCCGAAAACGATTGTTCACGAGATTGTATCGGAAGACTTGGCCATGCGGAAGATTTGCGCAAAACTTGTGCCCAGAGTGTTGACCGATGCGCAAAAGCAACACCGAGTGGAAGTTTGTGAAGAACTCAAGCAACTCTGTGCAGATAATCCCAATTTCCGGCGGATTTTTATTTCCTCGGCACAACAGCTCGAGTCGGTTTACAAGCTACTTCGATGAACAGCATCCCAGTCAAGGAGTTCCAGAAATCTTATGACGCATGGAAATCGCGTTGGCAAAATGTATTGACGCAGAAGGGTCATACTTCGAACAATTTTAATACCTATGCGATCAATAAATAAAAAAATGCGACGCATTACTTTCCGGACAAACCCTGTATGTACATGAAAATATTAATCAGCAGCTAACAGATATATGTATATGTCCATTTAAAAATAATGTTGATTACATAAATTTTATAATTTTGTAAGCTTCACAGAAAAATATAATTCAAAATTGTTGGTTTCATTTTTCTTTCAAAAATTGCATTGAGTAACATAACAATAAATATAATATAAATAATATAACGCAATGTGAAAAAATCCATCTATACATAGTAGGAAAATTTGCGCTTTCTTGTTAAAAACGATCCCTTCAAAACTTTGTGTTAAATATTTAATATTCATGTGTTAATTAAAATATTGCGTTGTGTTATATAGAACTTAAATTTTTAATTATTAAAACAATCGAAAATTTGTATAAAAATAACTCAACGTGCATCTATTTTTACTTGTACACAATAAATATGTAGTTTTATTAGTGACAAGATTTATTTGTTAAAATTTACTGAAAAATGTTGATTTTATATTTTGCATTATAAATAGAGATAAAATATAAAATTAACATATTTTTAGATAATTTTTACATTAAAACTATGTTAATTTTACGCAAAATTTATTTTAACTTACTTGAAGTTTTGCATACATTTTGTGTTAAAATATTAGCATACTATATATCTGTTACTATTTCACATATTTATATTATTTTAAATTAACACAAAAGTTTTTATGGTTTAGACATGTGATATCTGTCAATTTTAACACAAATTTTTCAATTGTGCATCAATTAATTTACAAATTAAAAAAACTAATATTTATAACAGCACATGATTTCGACTCAAGATCGCTTATATTTTTAAAGGTTAATATAAGATAGAATACGAAGAGACTTAATATCTTTCGATAATTTTGACGAGAAAAATGTTAAATGATTTCAGACCTTCGACTTCATAATTCAATATGACGTCATTATAAAACCGCAATTTTTAAGCAACAGTATATATTCATACATTAAAAAAAAATGTATACTTTTTGTCATTTTTTTGAATACTACAGTAATTAAGTTATTAATTCCGACAAATTTTTTACATTTAATTAGATGTTATTATTAAGTCATTATATATAATAAACGCGATAATTTTAACAGAATTAATTAAAATGGTATTCATCAAGTGTTACAGCATCACGATTAATGCTTGTAAGTGTAGGAGTTAAATTTGTATCCTTAAACTGTATTATAATATCCACGATTTCTCCGTTTGTAAAGCTCGGTGGTAACACAATATATGAATATCTAGGTCCAAAACCTGTAAGCTTTGCAGAGTATTCAATGGAGCTTGCTTTTTCGAAAATATGATTGAATGGCTCATTGGATATGTCATGATTCTTTAATAATAGTTGAGTCTCTTTAATGTAATACTGCAAAACATGAAAAATGTTAGTTACAAAACTGTATATACTCTAAGAGATAATTATATACTGGACAATCTTTTCAACAAAGAGAAACTAAAGAATATATATATATATATATATATATATATATATATATACTAATTGTCTGACATAAAATGTGAAACCGAAAATTTACAAGTAGTTCTCGTTATTTGGGTTGAGAGAGACCATCATTTTTTACATGTTCCCAATTTTTGCCATTACGTATTTTTATAACTAAACTTTAAATTAAAATTTTATTAAAGTAAACTCTACTAGAAATTAATTGGAGAATATGGTTTTGTTAATATTTTATTTCCAACAAGGCTTAATTTGCGAAAAATCTTTAATTTTTAATCGTTTATGACTCGAAAATTATTGATGCCTCAATATTGTTGCTGAGGAAAAAATGCCTCTAATAAACTAGATCTACTTTTATATTTTCAACGTGACAGCTTATGTTAGACATACATTATATAAACCATGCAGATAAGTATATAAATAATAACTGTTAAATAAAAACGTAAATAGTACCTGTAATTTATCATAATACAATTGCTGTTGAAGTAAATTGACATTTCGAATATTACGGTTTAGAAGACGCAGGAGATGCAGATTTCAGCTCTGCCATTTTTATTGGTTGATCGTACTTTTCTTGGCAAATACCTGAAACAAACAATAGATTTTTTATTTTTTTCATCTTTTTGAATTCTTTATGAGTGTACACTGAGTAATCGGAAATAAATAGACTATTTGTTGCAAAGCTATACACACAAACGTCGGCATCGATCTGCTTACATCCAAAGTCTTGCATCACTTGTTCGCATCTTTTAGCGAAACGTTTAACTGGCATCAAAAGAAGATGATCAAATCACGAATATCACGTGTATTATCCTGTATATCTTCCCAAAGAAGAAAGCATGCTGCGAATATGATGTCGAACTGCCAAGACCGGTGTCTAAGGGAATGTTCGAAATGATGCGCCTGCGAAAAGGTAATATATCAAAATTCTCCAGTTCAGTGATAGCATAAAGCAAAAAAAATAATAATAATAAGAATATTAAGTCAGCTTTTTAAATTTTAAAAATACAATGTACACCTCCTTCATCTCGGCCAATAGAACCACACGCGATGTTATTGCGACAATTAAGGAAGAAAATTTGAAAACTAAGTAATTTGTATCTTATGGTTGGGATCTCAGAAATTTTTCTTGTTCCTTTCTTAACTTCCCCTGTAAAGAAATAGACGAGAAAAAAAGAAAAAAAGAAAAAAAATATTTGTAAACTAAATCTCTGTTCAAACGTACACCACATGCCGTTGATGGTAATTAAAGATATCACGTATTTAACGCTAAAACTTTCATCTAATTTGCTTTCTTTCTCTTCAAAAAGATGGTCTCAAACTTTTTCTAAAAATACTTTAATATGTAGATTCACATTAGCGAAATCTATCTCAATGTGTTCTATCTCTTTAGGTAATGCGCGGAATTTGAGTTTGATACGTCTATTTAAGCTTGTCGTGACAATATGTTGCTGATACGACGCCGAGTGTTCTCCAGCTAAGACGATTCTGCCCGGTGCCAAAATTGTAAAATTAGCTAACCTGTTTTTATTTAGCGAATACATCTCTTCTTTACCGAATTTTAACGTTTAACAGTAAATAGTTTTTAATTATAAAATTATAGTGATGCCATTAATAAAAATTTGAAACGTTTATTATCGCTTATATAAGACAGTGTTTATATTTTCCGTGTTTAACTTTCGCGTTTCATTCGTGACTGGTTTCATCTCGGGACAATGTATATTAACATTACCCAGTTGTCATGACTTTAAGTCTGAACTGTTATATCAAATTTTATCGATATTTTGGGAAGCAATTAAAATAAATGTGTATATGCCTATAATAATCCAAAAATGATTTATTATTTTCAATGTGATAAATTAAAAGTTGTTATAGTTGTAGATACATTTGAAATATTGTCAAATAATATTGCGATGTTATAGTTTAAATTAAATTATATGTACGCGTACATAATATACTTATACAAAATTAGAAAATATATAAAATGTACTAATTAAAGTTAACAGTTAGAGAAGTTGCCATTTTAATTGTTTTATCTTATTTCTATTGACACAATGTATAAAAAATTCACATGTTACAATTTTGCAATATATTATAATAAATTATAAATAGAATTGTAATTAAAAAATATACGTTTTTGTCGAGATACGTCTATAATTAAAATATAATATAAAATGCTTTATTTTATATGTGTAAAATTGTATTTCTTTTAATAAATTATATGATCTTGACATAAAACATAAAAATATCGTTATCATTTGTTATTTTACAGTTCTCGTTGAAGTAAGTTTATATATAAGCATATTCATTTAAGCATTCGCGGAATAGAACAATTTATTGCTATCATATTTCCAAGTAATAATATTATACATATAATAATTCGTATGTTTAAAAAATCGACAAATACTTTATTTTTCTATTATAATTTTTGATGTCTCTTTATTGAAATTACGTTAAATAATGAAATTAAAAATGAAGAAAGAGTTTATGAAAATCAATTAATCTTTTCATATTGTACCAGTTTTATATTATTAAAGTCTTGTAGTATTAAAAAATATATTAAAAAGTATTAAAAAGTATTTCGACATTATAATTTAAACTTAGTGTATCGTGAATTTTGGCTCGAAAGTATTGAAATATGTTTTATTTCTATTTCTTAATTATTTTATAACATATTTTATAAATAGTTAAATTTATATTATATAAACTGAAGAAAATGAAAAAAGAAATATATATTGTTTTCATTCCGAAAATCTTTAGCTACTGTGCAAATTCAACTGAAATAATTGTAATTAATTTTTACATCAAAAATATAATCTTATAAACTTTCACCCTTATAAGCATTCATATTCATTTAAGCATTCGCAGAAAAAACCATTTTATTACTATCATATTTCTAAGTAATAATATTATATATACATATAATAATTCGCACGTTTAAAAAATCGACAAATACTTTATTATCTCTATTACGATTTTTGATTTCTCTTTATTCAGATTACGTTGAATAATGAAATAAAAGTGAAGAAAGAGTTTATGAAAATCAATTAATCTTTTTATATTGTACTAGTTTTGTAGTATTAAAAATATATTAAAAAATATATCCAAATATATTATTTTTGTTACTTTAGATACTTAAATGCATATAATTTATATTATTTAATTTTATATGTCCAAAAAAGTAGAACATGTGATCATAAATGACAGATATATTACATGCTTCATAATTCGTGTTTATAAATTATATAGCATTACTGAATAATGAAAACTAAAAATTTTGAAATATTTCCGATTGCCTCTTTAGCAAAGGAAAAATTAATCAATAAAAATTATATTTACCAGCCTTTTTTTACATATAGACATATTTACATCAATGAGATATTCACCAGGTAGTATGTACACAAAAACTATATTAAGCTCGTCGGTAACTAGTATATGTATATGTACATTTAATAGACAATGCTGATAAAACAAATTTTATTTCATAATTTTCTTTTAAGCTTTTCAAAAAAATATAATTCAAAATTATTTGATTTATTTTTTATTTACAAATTGCATTAAATGATATAATGCAATATAAGTTATGAAAAATAACGTTTTTTATACTAATAATTTACAAATCGAAAGTTTTTAAACATTTATTACAGCACATGATCCCGAAACAACATTGATTATGTTTTTAAAGTTTAATAAAATAGAGTACGAAGAAAGTAATATCCTTTAATAATTTTGATATGAAAATATTCTATGATTTCTCACCTTTGATTTCATAATTCAATACGCTGCCATTGAAAGACCGCGATCTTTGAGTAATATATTAAATATACATATTTGTATGTATATATAAATTGAACAAAAATGTATATTGTTCGTCATACTTTTTGAAAATACCACACAGTTAAGTTAATTATCTTAATTTTTTTTTTACGTTTAGTTACTTGTTATTATTTTGACATTTATATAATGATCGCGATAATTTTAACAGAATCAATTCTCAAGTCTTACTCCATCACAATTGATGCTAGTACTTATAACAAGGTAATTTTCATTCCTTAGATGTGTCGAAATTTCTGTGATTTCGTTGTTTGTTATGTGAGATGGTAGCAGAATGTACGCATATTTAGGTCCAAAACCTGTAAGCTTTGCCGAGTACCCCATTATTTGTGCAATTTCAAAAATACGATTAAATGCCTCATCGGACAAACTATAGTACTGCAATAATATTCGACTTTCTTTAATGCTCCACTGCAAAACATAAAACATTTTGGAAAACTGTACATATTCTAACAGATAATTATATACTGGATTATGTCAACGCAGAAAAAGTATAGAATATATATAAATATATGTATATATGTGTGTGTGTGTGCGTGCGTGCGTGCGTGCGTGCGTGTGTGTGTGTGTGGGTGTGTGTATTATGCAGGATGTGTGCCGAAAATCGTCCGCAATACACCTCTGGTGCTGATTCGGTACCCAAAAAGTAAGAAAAAAATTATAAAATAGATCCGAAAATAAGCCGTTTTCGAGTTAGCCTCAGTTTTATGTTAAAATAGTCTTAATTTATAGTCTGTTTGGCACCTATTTTCTTAATTTTTTAAAATTAAAATTTTTTATTTTATAAAGATAATGTAATTGTATTTACAAGTATATCAAAAAATTGAAAAAAAACTGAAACAATTAAACTTTAGAAAAATTAAAACAATTAAAATTAAAAAAAATTAAAAAATAAAGTTTTAAAATTAAACAAAATCAGAAATTGAAAATTATATAAATATAATAAATAAATATAAAAAATACAAAGATTAAAATTTTTTTAAAATTAAGAAAGGGATGCCAAAGAGACTATAAATTACAATTTTTTATCATAAAAGTATAGTTATAACTTTGAAATGACTTATTTTCGAATCTATGTTTAACTTTTTTCTTCTTTTTGGATCCCAAATCACTTCTCGAAGTATTGCGCGCAATTTTCCGAACACTCTTATATATAATATAATTATAACAAAATTAGAAATCAAAACGAAAATAGTACCTGTAATTTTTCATAATAAAATTCTTGCTCAGCTAAATTGCCATTCCGAATATTAATACTTAGTAAATTGAGCCAATAATACATGTTTAATGATAAATTATTTAATATATTGAACATGTAATCAAACGCAAAAGAAGATTGAGTTTTCAGCTGTGCCATTTGTCTTGCTTGATCGCACTTTTCCTGGCGAATACCTGAATCGATCAGTAGAATCTTTATTCTTGCCATCTCTTCGAAATCCTCAAAAACGTACTCTACGTAATTATCGGCAAGTAGATTATTTGTTGCAAAACCGAATACACAAACGTCGGTATCGATCTGCGTATATTGATAGTCTTGCATACGTTCCTCGCAATTTTTAACGTACACTCCAACATCCATCAAAAAGTCTATGTGATTAAATTCAATATTTTCATGATGATCACTCTGTAAACGACACCAATGAAGAAAACACGCAGCCAGACACACAGCGAATGATGTCGAACTGCCAAGACCAGCATCGAGCGGTATATTCGTGGTCACGTGCACGTGAAAAGATCTAATGTCAAGTTTCTCATAGACAGCAATACTATAAAGCAAGTAAAAAAACATTTGTAAACTAAATCTCTGCGTGAACGACTGCCACATGCCGTTGAAGGTAATGAAGGATTTCACGTATTTAATCCTAAAGTTTAGATTTAATTGGTTCTCTTGCTCTTCAGAAAAGAAGCTTCGAACTTCTTCTAAAGGTACTTGAATCTGTAGATTCACATCTGGGAATTCTATTTCAATTGGCCACCCTTCTGGTAATTCACGAAATGTGAGTTTGGTACGACGGTCTAAACTGGTCGAGACAAAGTGTTTTTGATACATTGCTGAATGCTCTCCGGCTAAGACGATTCGGCCCGGTGCGGAAATTTTGAAACTAACCATCCTTTTTATTCGTTTATAATAAAAATAACTTCTTAGTCACAGAACTGTGATGTAATGTTGAACAATAGAGAGTTTATAATTAAGAAGGTACAAGAATTCTGCTAATAAGAATTTGAAACGTTCGTATCGCACATAAGACAGTGTTTATATTTTCCGTGTGTACACTTTCGCGTCTCATTCGTCACTGATATCGTCTCGAAACATATAATACCATTGCCCGGCAGTCACGACTTTAAATGTGAAATACAATGTCAAATTTTTTCGATATTATGGGACAGTGGTTATTTTAACCGGCGTCCCGTAAAATTATGAAAACGCGGAGTATCTATCTAGAATAAATTACTATAATTTTTTTTAATTTTATGAATATTGTTTTTTTAAATTAAATTTGTATGATTTTATTCCGCAAATTTTTCTTATAATAAGTCGAAATAAGTGTTCCGTAACTTCAAAAAGATTAAGAACCACTGTTTTAGGGAGAAATGATTAGAATAAATGTGTATGTCCATACATAATCCAAAAATAATATATTATTTTCAATATGATAAAATAAACGTTTTCTTATATTGTCGTAGATACATTTCAAATAATGTCAAATAATATTGATGTTATATTTAAAATATATATGTTACGTTCGTCGCATATTATACTTATAAAAAATTGGAAAATGATAAAATATATTAATTAAAATTAGCAATCAGAGAAGTCATTTGATTTGCATTTTCTAATTTGCATTGACACAATGTATAAGATGTTTACATGTTAAAATTTTGCAATATATTATATATTATAATTACAAACTATATTTTCTAGTCGAGATATGCGTATAATTGAGATATAATATAAAATGCAGTACCGTATATATGTAAAATTATATTGTTTAGTAAATTATATAATTTTGACATAAAACATGAATATATCGTAATCATTGTTATTTATATAGATCTCATTTATGTTAGCCTAAATCGACATAATAATTATAACTTAATGTATTGCGGACTTCGGCTCGAGAATATTGAAATATATTTTATTTCTACATCTTAATTATTTTATAAAGAAATAAATCTTATTTTAGTATATATAATACTGGAGATATAAAAAAGAAATATAAATATCATTTTTATTCTGACAATTTTTAGCTACTATGCAAATCCAATTGAAATAATTGTCGTAATAAATGTTTTGCATTATTAAAAAGTCATATAAACTATAAATATGCACATAAGCAATCATATTTATTTAAGTATTCGCGGAAGAGAAATATTTGCTGTCATCGTCCAAGTAATAATATTATACATATAATAATTCGAATGTTTAAAAAAATCGACAAATACTTTATTATCTTTAATTTTTTCAATCAATTTTTTCTTTATTTCAATTACGTTGAATAATGAAATAAAAATAAAAGACATATGTAAAAGTTGTTAAAGAGTTTATGAAAATCTCTTTATATTCCACTAGTTCTTCATTAGTATTAAAAAATTTCAAAAGATATAATTTTCCGTTACCTTAAATAATTAAATGTATATAACTTATTTAATATAATTTCTATATTGCCAAAGAAGTAGAACGTGTGATTATAAATGACAGATATATTACATGCTTCATAATTTGTATACTACATGCTTCATAATTCGCATTTATAAATTTTATAGCATTAGCATTATTGAATAATGATAACTTATATTTTGAAATATTTTTTACGGTTACTTCTTTAGCAAAAATAAAATTAATAAAATCAATCAAAATTAATATTGGACGCTAGTAGTGAAAATAAACTTGGCAGAATTGATTTCGACGTAACTAGCAATTTTATTTAATTCTTTCACGACGTTTCGACCATTTGGTTGTGGTCCTTGACGTTGACGTTGACAAAACATTATAGCAATGGGACGTGTTCCTCTTTTAACTTTTAACTATTAATTTTAAATAAGACCGGTGTGATGTTGAGTTAATCTCAGTTTAATTAATGAAATTTTCACTTGATAAGGACCACAACCAAATGGTCGAAACGTCGTGAAAGAATTAAATAAAATTGCTAGTTACGTCGAAATCAAGTCTGCCAAAATTAATAAAAAAAATTATATCCACCAGATTCCTTTTTACGTGTAAGCATACTTACATCTTTAAATCATGCATCAGATGACATATGTACATGGAAAATATTAATCAGCAGCTAACAGATATATGTATATGTCCATTTAAAAATAATGTTGATTACATAAATTTTATAATTTTGTAAGCTTTACAGAATAATATAATTTTAAATTGTTTGTTTCATTTTTCTTTCAAAAATTGCATTAGGTAACATAACAATAAATATAATATAAATAATATAACGCAATGTGAAAAAAAACCACATATAGTAGGAAAATTTGCGCTTTCTTGTTAAAAACGATCCCTTCAAAACTTTTGTGTTAAATATTTAATATTCATGTGTTAATTAAAATATTGCGTTGTGTTATATAGAACTTAAATTTTTAATTATTAAAACAATCGAAAATTTGTATAAAAATAACTCAACGTGCATCTATTTTTAATTGTACACAATAAATATGTAGTTTTATTAGTGACAAGATTTATTTGTTAAAATTTACTGAAAAATGTTGATTTTATATTTTGCATTATAAATAGAGATAAAATATAAAATTAACATATTTTTAGTTAATTTTTTAAAACTATGTTAATTTTACACAAAATTTATTTTAACTCACTTGAAGTTTTGCATACATTTTGTGTTAAAATATTAGCATACTATATATCTGTTACTATTTCACATATTTATATTATTTTAAATTAACACAAAAGTTTCTGTGGTTTAGACATGTGATATCTGTCAAATTTAACACAAATTTTTCAATTGTGCATCAATTAATTTACAAATCAAAAAAACTAATATTTATAACAGCACATGATCTCGACTCAAGATCGCTTATATTTTTAAAGGTTAATATAAGATAGAATACGAAGAGACTTAATATCTTTTGATAATTTTGACGAGAAAAATGTTAAATGATTTAAGACCTTCGATTTCATAATTCAATATGACGTCATTAAAAAACCGCAATTTTTAAGTACTAGTATATATTCATACAATGGACAAAAATGTATAGTATTCGTCATTACTTTAAATACTACAGTAATTAAATTAATAATCTTGACAAATTTTATTGTTTAGTTATTCAAATATATAATAAACGCGACAATTTTAACTGAATTAATCAAAATGGTATTTATCAAGTGTTATACCATCACAATTGATGCTTGTAAATATAGGAGTTAAATTTTTATCCTTTAATCGTGTTATAATATCTACGATTTCTCCGTTTGGAAAGCTCGGTGGTAACACAATATATGAATATCTAGGTCCAAAACCTGTAAGCTTTGCAGAGTATTCAATGGAGCTTGCTTTTTCGAAAATATGATTGAATGCTTCAATGGACAAATCATGATTCTTCAATAATAATTGAGTTTGTCTAACGCAATACTGCAATACATAAAAAATGTTATCAAACTATACATTCTCTAAGAGATAATTATGTACTGGAAAATCTTTTCAACAAAGAAGAACTAAAGAATATATATAGGATGTCTGACATAAAGTGTCTCACCGAAAATATACAAGTAGATTTCGTTATTTGGAATGAGAGAAGCCATCGTTTTTTATGTTCCCAATTTTTCTCACCTTAAATCTTTATAATTAATCCTTAAATTAAAATTTTATTAAAATAAACTCTACTTGAAAATAATTGAACAATATGGTTTTGTTAATATTTTATATCGACAAGGTTTAATGTGCGAAAAAACCTTTATTTACAATCTCTTCTAACACCAAAATTATTGATGCCTCAATATTGTTGCTGAGGGAAATTTGCCTTAAAGTAACAAGATCTACTTGTATATTTTCGGTAAGGCAGTTTATGTCAGACAGGCTGTATATATATATATATATATATATATATATATATATTATATATACAAAAATAATAACTGTTAAATAAAAACAAAAATAGTACCTGTAATTTATCATAATACAATTGCTGTTGAGGTAAATCGGCACTTCGAATATTGCTGTTTAGGCGATGCAGAAATTTATACATTTTTTTTTGCAAATCTATTTAATCTATTTAATATAGTAACAAACGTGTCAGAAGATGCAGATTTGAGCTCTGCCATTTTTCTTGCTTGATCGCACTTTTCCTGACGAATACCCGAATCGATCAGTAGAATCTTCATTCCTTTCATCATATCGAATTTCTTAATATAACTGTACTCTACATAATCGGAACAAAGTAGACGATTTGCTGCACGGCCGTATATACAAACGTCGGCATCAATCTGCGCACATCCATAGTCTTGCATCAATTGTTTGCATTCTTTAACGAAACGTCCAACTTGCTTCAACACGTAATCACTCAATTCTATATTGCATTATCATTCTGTACATGCTCCCAAAGATAAAAGCACGTTATGCTATCAAGTTATCATAATATATCAAGATTCTCTTCTTCAGCGATAGTGTAAAGCAAGAAAAAAAATATTTGTAAACTAAATCTCTGTTCAAACGTACACCACATGCCGTTGATGGTAATCAAAGATATCACGTATTTAACCCTAAAACTTTCATCTAATTTGCTTTCTTTCTCTTCAAAAAGATAGCCTCAAACTTTTTCTAAAGGTACTTTAATATGTAGATTCACATTAGAGAAATCTATCTCAATGTGTTCTATCTCTTTAGGTAATGCGTGGAATTCGAGTTTGGTATGTCTATTTAAGCTTGTCGTGACAATATGTTGCTGATACGCCACCAGTGTTCTCCAGCTAAGACGATTCTGCCCGGTGCCGAAATTGTAAAATTAGCTACCCTTTTTTCCATCAATGAAGACATTTCTTTATAGAATTGCAACGTTGAGCAGTTAACTTTATAATTAAGATTTACAGTGATGAAGAGTGAAACGTTCGTTATCGCATATATAAGACAGTGTTTATATTTTCTGTATATACATTTTCGCGTCTCACTCGTGACTGGTTTCATCTCGGGACGTATAATAACATTATTCGGTTGTCATGATTTTAAGTCTGAACTGTTATATCAAACATATTAATTATTTTCGATATTTTCGGAAAAAGTTAAAATAAATGTGTATGCTCATAAAATAATTCAAAAATGATATATTATTTTCAATGTGATAATTAAAAGTTTCTTATAGTCGTAGATACATTTGAAATATTGTCAAATAATATTGGTGTTATAGTTTAAATTGTAATATATGTACGCGTACATAATATACTTGTACGCAATTAGAAAATAATAAAATGTACTAATTAAAAATAACAGTCAGAGAAGTTGCCATTTTAATTGTTTTATCTAAAATTTCTATTGACACAATGAATAAGAAATTCACATGTTACAATTTTGCAATATATTATAATGAATTATAATTAAAATTATAATTAGAATTGTAATTAAAAAATTTGCTTTCTCGTCGAGAAACGTGTATAATTGAAATATAATATAAAATGCATTACTTTATATGTGTAAAATTATATTTCCTACTAAATTATATGATCTTGACATTAAACATAAAAATATCGTTATTATTTGTTATTTTACACATCTCATTTAAATAAGCTTATAAGCATTTATATTTATTTAATCATTCGCCGAAAAGAACATTTTGCTATCATATTTCCAAGTATTAATATTATACATATAATTATTCGTATGTTTAATAAGTCGACAAACATTTTATTATCTCTATTACAATTTTTGATTTCTCTTTATTCAAATTACGTTGAATAATAAAATTAAAAGTGAAGAAAGAGTTTATAAAAATCAATTATAAGTTATGAAAAAAAACGTCCTTTATACTATTTAATTTTTAAATCGAAAGTTTTTTAACATTTATTACAGCATGAGCTCGAAACAACATTGATTATGTTTGATAGTTTAATAAAATAGAGTTCGAACAAACTAATATTTTTCAATGAATTATTTTTGGAAGAAAATATTCAATGAATTCTCACCTTTGATTTCATAATTCAATACGCTGCCATTAAAAAACTGCGATCTTTGAGTAATATAATAAAAATATACATATTTGTATGTATACATAAATTGAACAAAAATTTATATTGTTCCTTATACTTTTTTTAAACTACCACAATTAAGTTAACTAACTTAATCTTTTTTACGTTTAGTTACTTGTTATTATTTTGACATTTATATAATAATCGTTATAATTTTAACAGAATCAATTCTCAAGTCTTACTCCATCACAATTGATGCTAGTACTTATAACAAGGTAATTTTCATTCCTTAGCTGTGTTGAAATTTCTCTGATTTCGTTGTTTGTTATGTAAGGTGGTAGCAGAATGTACGCATATTTAGGTCCAAAACCTGTCAGCTTTGCCGAGTATCCCATATTTTGTGCAATTTCTAAAATACGATTAAATGCCTCATTGGACAAACCACGGCTTCTCAATAATACTTGAATTTCTTTAATGCAACACTGCAAAACATGAAACATTTTGGGAAACTGTACATATTCGAACAGACAATTATATATTGGACAATCTTGTCAACACAGAAAAACTAATGAATATATATATACATATATATATTTATGTGTGTGTGTGTGTGTGTATTATGCAGGATTCGGAAAATCGTTCTCAATACACCTCTGAAGCTGATTCGGGACCCAAAAAGTAGAAAAAAGTTATAACATAGGTCCGGAAATAAGTTGTTTTCGAGTAAGCCGCTTTTATGTTAAAAAAGTCATAATTTATAGTCTGTTTAGCACCTATTTTCTTAATTGTTTTTAAATTTAAATTCTTTATTTTATAAAGATAATATAATTGTATTTACAAGTACATCAAAAAATAGAAAAAAATAAAACAATTAGAATAAAAAAAATTAAAACAATTAAAATTAAAAAGAAATTAAAAAATAAAATTTTAAAATTATAATAAACGAAATCAGAAAAATTGAAAATTACATAAATATAACAAATAAATATTTAAAAAATAAAAATTTGAAATATCTTAAAAATTAAGAAAGGGGTGCTAAACGGACTATAAATACGATTTTTTTATCATAAAAGTATAATTATAACTTGGAAATGACTTATTTCCGAACCTATGTTTAACTTTTTTCTTTTTTTTGGATTCCAAATCGCCTCCCGATGTATTGCGCGCAATTTTCCGAAGACCCTTATATATAATATAATTATAACAAAATTAGAAAAACGAAAAAAAGTACCTGCAAATTTTCATAATAAAATTCTTGCTCAGTTAAAATGGCATTCCAAATATTAATACTTAGTAAATTGAGCCAATTATACATTTTTATTGATAAATCATTTAATTCATTTAAAATGTTATCAAACGTGAAAAGACATTCAGATCTCAGCTGTCTCATTTTTGTTGCTTGATCACACTTTTCCTGGCGAATACCTGAATCGATTAGTAGAATCTTCAATCTTGCCATCTCTTCCCAATCCTCAACAGAGTACTCTACGTCATCGGTAAGTAGACTCTTTGTTGCAAAACCGAATACACAAACGTCGGTATCGATCTGCGTACATTGATAGTCTTGCATACGTTCCTCGCAATCTTTAACGTACACTCCAACATTCATCAAAAAGTCTATGCGATTAAATTCAATATTTTCATGATAATCACTCTGTACACGACACCAATGAAGAAAACACGCAGCCAGACACACAGTAAATGATGTCGAACTGCCAAGACCAGCATCGAGCGGTATATTCGTGGTCACGTGCACGTGAAAAGATGTGATGTCAAGATTCTCATAGACAGCAATACTATAAAGCAAATAAAAAAACATTTGTAAACTAAATCTCTGCGCAAACGTACGCCACATGCCGTTGAAGGTAATAAAGGATGTCACGTATATAATCCTTAAGTTTGGATTTAATTGGTTCTCTTCTAAAAGGAAACCTCGAACTTCTTCTAAAGGTACTGTAATCTGTAGATTGACATCTGGAAATTCTATTTCAACTGGCCACCCTCTAGGTAATTCACGGAACGTGAGTTTGGTACGACAGTCTAAACTGGTCAAGACAAAGTGTTTTTGATACATTGCTGAATGCTCTCCCGCTAAGACGATTCGGCCCGGTGCGGAAATTTTGAAACTAGCCATCCTTTTTATTTGTTTATAATAAAAATAACTTCTTAGTCACCGAACTGTGATGTAATGTTGAACAATAGAGAATTTATGATTAAGAAGGTACAAGAATTCCGCTAATAAAAATTTGAAACGTTCGTATCGCACATAAGACAGTGTTTATATTTCCCGTGTGTACACTTTCGTGTCTCATTCGTGACTGATTTCGTCTCGAAACATATAATACCATTACCTGGCAGTTACGATTTTAAATGTGAACTACAATGTCAAATTGTTTCGATATTGTGGGGCAGTGGTTCTTAACGGATGTTCCGTAAAATTATGAAAATGCGGAGTACTTACCTAAAATAAATTACTATAATTTTTTTTAATTTTATGAATATTATTTTTTTAAAATTAAATTTGTATGATTTTATTTCGCAAATTTTTCTTATAATTATAAGTCAAAAGTGTTCCGTAACTTCAAAAAGGTTAAGAACCACTGTTTTAGGAAGAAATGGGTATGGAATAAATGAGTATGCCTATACGTAATCCAAAAATAATATATTATTTTTAATATGATAAAATAAACGTTTTCTTATATTGTCGTGGATACATTTCAAATAATGTCAAATAATATTGATGCTATATTTGAAATATATATGTAAAGTATGTATATTTAACTAACTTATATAAGTTAGTTAAGTTAGTTATATAAGTTAGTTAGTTTATAAATTACTTACATTATATATGCATAATGCTTATAAAAAATTAGAAAATGATAAAATATATCAATTAAAATTAGCAATCAGAGAAGTTGTCATGTGATTTGCATTTTCTAATTTGCATTGACACAATGTATAGGATGTTTACATGGTACAATTTTGTAATATATTATATATTATAATTACAAACTATATTTTCTAGTCGAGATATGCGTATAATTGAGATATAATATAAAATACAGTACTGTATAAATGTAAAATTATATTGTTTAATAAATTATATAATTTTGATGAAACATGAATATATCATAATCATTGTTATTTATATAGATCTCATTTATGTTAGCCTATTTCGACATAATAATTATAACTTAAAGTATTGCGAACTTTGACTTGAGAGTATTGAAATATATTTCATTTCTATATCTTAATTATTTTATAAAGAAATAAATCTTAAGTATATATAATACTGGAGATATAAAAAAGAAATATAAATATCATTTTCATTCTGATAATTTTCAGCTACTGTGCAAATCCAATTGAAATAATTGTCGTAATAAATTTTTTGCATCATAAAAATATAATTATATAAAGTATAAACATTCACACTTATAAGCAATCATATTTATTTAAATATTCGCGGAAATGGAAATTTTACTATCATTTTTTTAGGTAATAATATTAAATAATAATTTATATGTTAAAGCACAACAAATACTTTATTATCTGTATTACGATTTTTGCTTTTTCTTCATTCAAATTGCATTGAATAATGAAACTAATTACGTTAATAATAAAATTAAAAGTGAAAAATATGTAAAGTTTCAAGAGTTTTCAAGAGTTTATGAAAATGAATTCATCTTTTCACATTTTACTAGTTTTTCTTAAATATTAGGAAATATATCAAAAAAATATTATTCTTTATTACCTTGAATAATATATTATATAATATTTTTTTATTTATTTTTTATATTTCCAAAAAAGTAGAACGTGTGTAATAAACGACAGTTATACGCCATGTTTCAGAATTCGTGTTTATAAATTATATAGCATTGAATAATAAAAACTGAATATTTTGAAATATTGTTTCCGGTTGCTTTTTTAACAAAGAAAAAATTAATAAACAAAAATTATATTCACCAGCTCCTTTTTTACATAGACATATACTAAAGAAAAAAATTATTTAATTCTTATAAATATTTATTTCAATATTGTCAAATAAATCATTTATTAGAAACCAATGATATTTATTTGATTTATTTGTTTCAAGTAAATGATTCATTTAGCAGTATTGTACTAAATATGTATTAATGTAGTCATTTTTTTTCAGTGTACCTACATCTGTAAAAAATGCACCAGCCCCAACAGCACACATTCCGAAAACGTTCAGAGAACATCCTGAGGATGTTTGATAGTCTTCAGGATATCTCTAAATAATATCTGAATATCTTTCACATATGTTGTGCTATTAGGGAGATAGTTTGTGCACGGAAACAATTAAGTTCGTAGTTAACAGATATATATATATATATATATATATATATATATATATATATATATGTCCATTTAACGAACAATGTTGATGAAATAAATTTTATTTTATAATTTTCTTTTAAGCTTCGCACAAAATATCATTCAAAATTGTTCGACCTATTTTTTATTCTTAAATTGCACTATATAATTATTATATTATAATATAAAAATAAATATAATTTCAATAATATAATGCAATATAAATTATAAAAAGAACATCCTTTATACTAACTAATTTATAAATAAAAAATCTTCTAATATTTATTACAACACATGATTCTGACGCAACAATGCTTATATATTTAATATTTATTAAGATAGATTACAAAAAAAACAATATTTTTTGACTATTTTTGGAAGAAAATATTCAATGATTTCTCACTTTTGATTTTATAATTCAATACGCTGCCATGTTAACAAACCGCAATCTTTGAGTAATAAAATATATACATAAATTGAACTAAAATGTATATTGTCATATTTTCCTTAAACTAACACAGTTAAGTTAATTATTTTAACTTTTTTTCACGTTTAGTTATTTGTTATTATTTAGTCATTTATACATATAATAATCGCGTCAATTTTAACCGAATCAATCATCAAGTTTTACTCCATCACAATTGATTATTTATAACAAGGTAATTCTCATTCCTTAGCTGTGTCGAGATTTTCCTGATTTCGTCGTTTGTAATGTGCGGTGGTAGCACAATATACGCATATTTAGGTCCAAAATCTGTAAGTTTTGCCGCGTATTCAATATCATCTGCGACTGCGGAAATAACGATTGAATGCCTCATCGGACAAACATTGGCTCCATAATAATAGTTGAATCTTTCTAATATAACACTGCAAAACATTATAGAAAATTTTACATAATGTTACAGATAATTATATAATCTCTAAAAACTCACCTTTAAAAAAAGGTAAAAAAAGGCGACCAGTTAAGGGCACGCCATTAACAAAAATTATCCATTGCAAACCCATGTAGAATCCTATCCTATTGCAAACCCATGTAGAATCCTATGAAAAATTAATCATTGCAAACCCATGTAGAATCCTAGGCAAAATTAACCATTGCAAACCCATGTAGAATCGTACCCATTGCAAACCTATGTAAAATCCTATAAAAATTAACCAATGCAAACTCATGTAGAATCCTATGAAAAATTAACCATTGCAAACCCATGTAGAATTGTATTAAAAATTATCCATTGCAAACTTATGTAGAATCCTACATTGCAAACCCATGTACAATAGAATTGTATGAAAAATTATCGATTATAAACCCATGTACAATCGTAACAAAAGTAATGAAATAAAAAAATTGCGCCAAGTGAAAGTAGAAACTTGTACCAGTGGAAAATTAAAGTTGCAGACATATATAGAGTCGTATAATGAATCAGTAAAAATTTAAATTTGCAAATGTAGAATCGTACCATAAAAAAACTTATCTTTTAAAAAAAAGATAAACAAGATGCCAAGTCCATGCGCCATGTGAAAAAGAAATAAAAAAATTTTAGTTAAAAAAACTGGGCGCGCTGCTAAGTTTCAAAATTACAATGCACCTTAAAGTAACATTAATTAATTTAAACACAAAACATATTTTAACTGTAATGAGTTTAAAAGTAACAATTTAATTTTAATATTGTTAGAATATTATTTAGCAGCGCTCCCAGTTTTTTTAACTAAAATTTTTTTATTTCTTTTTCACATGGCGCATGGACTTGGCATCTTGTTTATCTTTTTTTTTAAAAGATAAGTTTTTTTATGGTACGATTCTACATTTGCAAATTTAAATTTTTACTGATTCATTATACAACTCTATATATGTCTGCAACTTTAATTTTCCACTGGTACAAGTTTCTACTTTCACTTGGCGCAATTTTTTTATTTCATTACTTTTGTTACGATTGTACATGGGTTTATAATCGATAATTTTTCATACAATTCTATTGTACATGGGTTTGCAATGTAGGATTCTACATAAGTTTGCAATGGATAATTTTTAATACAATTCTACATGGGTTTGCAATGGTTAATTTTTCATAGGATTCTACATGAGTTTGCATTGGTTAATTTTTTATAGGATTTTACATAGGTTTGCAATGGGTACGATTCTACATGGGTTTGCAATGGTAATGATGACGGGGACGTTTCTTAAAAGAAATTTTTCATATTTTGACTTTGCAATTATATATCTCTGCTTACAAATCACGTAGAGCAGAAATAAAGACACTTTTATTATATAATTCAAACTCAATCTATCGATTAAGTCTAGTATAAACTCGATTGCTTCAGCCGTTATTGAGAATTCGAAATATTATAAAGACTCAAATGTCCGACTCGCGTTAAGATACACGGTGTCTCGGCTACGCCCTTAACTGGTCGCGAGACACTACCGTGTCTCTTGACTTGAACGAAAAAAATAATTAAATGATTTAAATATAGCACATTTTAAATCAAGAAACTTATATAATCGAACTCTGTTTAGGAAAAGGTAGAACATTTCATTTGCCTCTGCCTTTACAAGAAACATTGGATAAGGTATGTCCTCCGGAAGATCCTATAAATTTGAATCACGAGTTGCACATTCTCGTTCGAGGTATACCCAAGAAATCTAAAGTGGTTTGGGAAAATTTGGTAGATATTAATAAAATGTATAAGGCTTTACAATGGTTGAAAGAAAATAATCCTCATTACTCAAAAATTCGTCTTCCAGCGTCATCTGATGATCTATTAAAGGATAAGTTGCAGGAAACAGAATATAGGATTGTCGATGAGGAAAGCGACAATGACGAAATAAATGAGGTGGTTGAGGAATTACCAGCATTGAATTTGTACAATGTACAGCAAAACAAAAATAATAATGATCAAACCGTTTTAAAACGTACGGCTTTTCTCACACAAATCACTGAACATTCGGATATTAACGATCAGTATACAATATACCCAATACACGCGAAAAGAATCGATAACGAATCTGCATTGAAGCTTTATCAAATGATGAAAATTGAAGATTTTCCAATGGATAATCGTTATAAATATCTGGATGTCATGTGTTTCCCTGATTTATATCCTGATGG